CATGCAAGATTTGGGATTCATTGCACACGGTATACTAGTCGGTCAGACCCTGACACCCTGACAATGGTCCACAGCCACAAATCTGCAAAGAATGACTAGATTATGGTAAATATTGCAGACAATGTGACACACCAGACAAGTCCTGATACCCCTGACAAGCCTAACAAGTCCTGACACCCCTGACAAGCCCTGACACCCCTGACAAGTCCTGACACCCCTGACAAGCCTAACAAGTCCTGACACCCCTGACAAGCCTAACAAGTCCTGACACCCCTGACAAGCCTAACAAGTCCTGACACCCCTGACAAGTCCTGACACCCCTGACAAGCCTAACAAGTCCTGACAACCCTAACAAGTCCTGACAAGTCCTGACACCCCTGACAAGCCTAACAAGTCCTGACACCCCTAACAAGTCCTGACACCCCTGACAAGTCCTGACACCCCTGACAAGCCCTGACACCCCTGACAAGCCTAACAAGTCCTGACAACCCTAACAAGTCCTGACACCCCTGACAAGTCCTGACACCCCTGACAAGCCTAACAAGTCCTGACACCCCTAACAAGTCCTGACACCCCTGACAAGTCCTGACACCCCTGACAAGCCTAACAAGTCCTGACACCCCTGACAAGTCCTGACATCCCTGACAAGCCTAACAAGTCCTGACACCCCTGACAAGCCCTGACACCCCTGACAAGCCTAACAAGTCCTGACAAGACCTCTTCTCTTACACTCTTCGACACAATCGTCCGAATTATGTGGGTATATCGTATTAGACCTACAATTTCAAATTATTATACTAAATATTAGACCTAAATATCTTAACGATTGCAGTTTGCAAGTTTGCAGCGTATCTTGCACGCTAATTTTTATTACTGACTTGATTGTTCAAATACATGGCCTCTTTATTATGTACAGATCTAGATCTTTTGGAGCCACAGAATTGAACCGACGAAACTCGTTTGACCATATGTCTCGGCTGACTGAAGCCAATCACATCATCAACTGCGGATTCAGTATCATACGGCATGTTCTTATGCATGTGGTAGGGGTTGGGTTTTTGCATCATGTTACTGAAACTACTTGCATAATGACCACTGACATTATGTGGGTCATGAAGAGATAAAATGGGAACTGCGATTTGCTTTATTTTTTGACGGGACCGGGAACGACAGACACATTTTGGTGTAACAATATTTAATTTGTTATTAGCTGATCTAGTGCTATATTTATGAACTGTATTTACATAAGTGAAATAAGATTCAAAGTATTGTGGACAAATGCCATGACTTATAGCATAAAAAGTTTATTAGTTGTAATAATATCGTCAATTGGTAGCCATTCTAAACAATTGAAAAGATTAATTGAATTTGCAGTTGTATTGGCATCGAGTATAATTCTTGCACAACGTTTTTGCAATTTCAGTAATCTATCAAGATTTCCTTTTGAACAATTTCCCCAGACTGTGCAACAATATTCCAAAACGGATTTAATTAAAGAATTGTATATAGTTTTCTACACACTATCGTTAAATACGATTTAATTCTCCTCAGAAGATTTACTCGACTATTTAGTTTCTTGATAAGCTGGTCAATCTGTTGATTCCACGATAGTTTAGAATCAATCATTACTCCTAAAAGTTTTTCTTCGTCTGTTTTATTAAGTTTAGTTCCATTCAAATACAAATCCATCGAGTTCCTAGAACTATGATGAAGTTTTTTGTGCCGTGCCAATGACCGTATATTTTGTTTTCTCGATGTTTGGCTTCATATTGTTTAGTGTTTAAACCAATCCTCAACCTTGCTTAGCTCTGAATTTAACGTTAGTTCAATTTCTACACAATTTGTTCCACTTTTCCAGATGGTAGTGTCGTCCGCGTACATGTCCGTCTCAGCTTTCTCAAGTGACAATGGTAGATCATTCACATACACGGTAAACAGTAGAGGCCCCAGAATTGAACCGTGCAGGACACCGACATCGATATTTAGTGGGGTTGATAAACAGCCAGAAAAAGAGCATATTTGAATGCGGTTTGCTAGGTATGACTCAAACCATTTGAGTTCACCGTCACTTGTGTGATATTTTCCTAGCTTGTACAGTAATAACTTGTGGTTAATCAAGTCAAAAGCTTTGCTTAGATCCAAAAATACGTACGACCCCAATAAGATTGCTCTTATCCATTTCCTTTAACCATTTATCAGTTATATTCAAGAGTGATGTTTCACAAGAATGAAAAGGACGATACGCAGACTAATTTATATAAAGCAAGTTATTTGCAGTAAGATGGTTCAAATAAGACGAAGCAACATGTCTTAATGTCTGAATTAGTAATCAATACCACTAACTCGCAATATAGCAGAAAAATAAACTCAAACGGCATAATGAAGTCTCTCTAGATTTAGACAAATTTGCAACAAATTTAATTGAATATAGCGGGCTTGGCCTGTTATGCAAGTGTATTGCATACTATTAAGTCTATAATTAATTGCAAAAAGTGACTGGTGTGTAGAAACTAGACCACGCACCTTTCAGGGCCCTCACCTACATGTCTGTACTAGTGGTGATAACCCGCTAAACCTTCCATTGTTCAGCATAACACAACGAGAATGATCCTACCCTGCTTATATGTGTGGGACATCATATAAACTTACCTGATGGACTCGATCTTTTCCATTACTTTTTCGCGGTCACTATCCACTTTCATCAATCCAAAAAGATCCAATTTTTTCATTTCTCTGCATTCAAGCTCCACCTCCCCATTCCAAAAAGCCCCACCCACCTCTTTCTCTGTTAAATCTATTCAACACAAAGAGTAGTTTTATTCCTTTAGATTATGCATAATACATGCATGGCCTCCTTAATTAATGGAGATACATCATTTTTAGGGTAAGAAATGATTTTTATAAATCTATTAATTAATGTAAGTTGTAAGGCCAGTACAGCTTACCTTTCAAGGGATTGAACACCTCATTGTACGATTCGGCAAACGCACTAAATGATGTCCAGGCATGGTTGCTAAAAAGTGTAATAAAATCCTCAAAACCTATCGAGACTTGTGTGCTCTAAGAGCATATTGGACGGACAGACACTATTCAATGCCTATTTGTCCATTACTATTAACTGTACTATGTCTATGTTTATATTCTGTAAGCAATGTTTAAAAATAATTCAAGTAAAGGGCAGACCATTAGAAAAGTGGGGGGTGGGGGGAAAGCAAAAATAAAAATCGAGCAGAGGAAACAGAAAAAAAAAATCGTGCACCAAAAAAGTTAAACAAAAATTCAGGCATAAACTTTTGAACAGTGAAAATTATAAGCTGACTGTGGCTATCAGAGGTACAGTGTAAGGGTGGCCCCCAAATTTGGAAAATAAACAAAATTGATATTTGCTGTGTTGGTGCAGTGTACTCAGGTGTATAAGATGCTTGTGATGTTACTCTGAGTGTGTACATGTTACTCTGAGTGTTGATATAAGTAATGCTGTGAAATTTGCAACGTTTTTTGATATAAGTAATGATGTGAAAAAAAATCCTAACCTAAATTTTGCAGATATTGGTGAAAAAAGGGGATTTAAGCATGTTTTAAAAAGAATTTGTCAGGGAAAATTTGTTTTGAACCTTAACTGAACTGATGTTAGTCCGGAAAATACTTTGAGCCTTTTTTTGTGTTCTGAAATAATGTTTTTTTAAAAAATATCGACACAAGCAAAAAAAAATTGAAAAAATAATCGTACAGGTTGAAAAT